AGAGGCCTAGCCATGAAGCCTGTCCCTTGAAACTTATCCTTTTTAACTGTCCAACCAGCACTGGGAAACTCAGTCTGGGAGCTGCCATTTTATTTTCCCATGATGACACTCAGGGGCATTCTGCAAAAAGTAATGAGTCATTGAGTTCTTCAGTGAAATGTACACCCCGCCCTTCTAAGCTTGTTTCATGCCATACTTGTGCCAAGCTGGCACTCTCTGCTCCCTGCACAGGTGCAACTGGAGCTCAGCCATTTGTGACCAGTAACCTTGCATTTTGCAATCTGTTGCTGGGCTGCAGGACTCCAGGCTAAGATGGAGGGAGAAATCAAGCACCGTTGTGCTCTTCCCACTGAAATAAAAACTCTGTACGTGCAAAAGAGAAGAACTCCAGTCTAGGCTTCTCCTTCCACTACCAGGTTTCTGTGTGCATGGAGCATAGCTGTCAACTTACAGATTTGTAAATAAGGGACCAGCAGCCTCAAAAATAAGGGATCAGCAGCCAAAATAAGGGATTTTCCGGGCACAGGTATGTTCAACTTCTGAGCCCCTCCGAGGCAGAAAGCCCAGCCAGCAGCCAAACAAAGCCTCAAGGAAAACCACCGTCACCTCTCCGCTGGGAAGCGCTGAGCAAAGGCGAGTCCCCAGGCAACGCGGCCGATTTGATCGGCACAAGGCATGCAAGCTCCACCCCCAGTCGTTCTTAGACTTCTTATTGGGTGAGCAACGCAGCCAAGCAACACAGTTGGAGCCTCCCTCCTCCCTGGCCGGCAGGGAGGGAGGGAGAGGAGTTGCTTCCTTTGGAACCCGGGAAATTTAAGGGACATCATCCATAAGGGACAGCAGCGGGACACAGCGCTGGGATAAGGGACTGTCCCGCCAAATAAGGGACGCTTGACAGCTATGGCATGGAGCAGTCAGTCATTTGCTCCATCATCCATAGGATGAACTGGTATGGCCCACATTGGCCGTCTGCAGAAATCTCTGGCCTTTGCACGGCAGGAATAAAGGTAAGGGTTTGCAACGGTTGCCCTGCCCACTTTCTTTGCCTCTGGTCCCACCCACCGCAGATGTGTGGCCCCCTGAAGCTTCTCCATGAGGAAGTGTGGCCCTCAGGTTTCCCAGGTTTCCTCACCTCTGCAGCAAAAATGCCAGCATCCGTGGAGCCAGGAGTATCCGCTAGCTGTTGCCAGAGCATCAGTGTTTAATCTAGCTGGCTTTATTGGCTCCCAGAGGCAATGCTGTTAAACAGGTCTTGGGAAGGAAATCTGCCTCTGCTCCTGAGCAAGGATAGTCCTTTGAAGGTCGGGGTGAAAGGCCATTGCCAAGCAGAATTAGAAGCCTGGGGATTATGCTTCATTACGGAATTAATCCCTCATTGTTCACAAGCCCGAAATCGAGTGCGGCAGAATTATAAAAATAGGAAATGGCACGTAGGCCCATGTGGCTTCGCTCCCTTGTCTTTGCCATCCTGGCCTGGTTTTCATGTCACTCAAAGCCTACTAGGACGTCTTCCAACGTAACTGGAAATCCATGTCTTGGGAGGGGAAGACGTGATGCGAGGGCTTTTTAAAAGCAGAGAGAATTTATGCAGATGGCGAGGCAGGTTTTTCCTCGTTTTCTTTTTGTATTTGTTTTTTAAAAAATTATTATTATTTTATTTTGACAAAGTAATAACCATACGCGTAACGAGTCTGCCCCTGCAGCTTGATGGCGGTAGAAACTGTCTCTCATGCCTTGTTACGCTGCCGTTTCTACGGGTTTATATGCTCGGTATTTATTACCCCTGCTATGCAAAAATCGCCAAATGAATCCAAACTTCAGTGCCTAAAATCCCTGGTAGAGGACAAGGATCCTGAGATCACGTTAAGGGGAGCCAAATTCTGTGCGATTGCCATAAAACTTAGGGAACAAGCTGTAATAATGATAAATAAATAAGAATAAAAATGTGCACCCCACCACTGAGACCGTTGCATTGTAATTATCCAACCTCCCGAAATTTCAACACCTCTTGCGATGGTTTGACCCTTTTCCGTTTTAAAAGTACAAACACCTTCCGTATCTCCTTGAAATCATTTCTCCTGCATGTTCCCTGCCTTACCTTAATGGCACATGAAAATTTATCATTAATAGCTATATCCCACACCTCTTTATACCATTTTATATTCCGCTTGCCCCTTCCACTTCCTAGCTATCACAATTTGTGCAGCTGTCTGTGTCCTTCATCCCTGTTCCCACAAAGAACCCCGCGATCTTAGGTAGCAAAGCAGTCTCTCCCCTCTGGTGAGCACGCTCAATGTCAGAAGAGCCTACTGGATCAGACCAGTGGCCCATCAAGCCCAGCATCCTGTTCTCACAATGGCCAGCCAGACAAGCAGGTCCCCGGGCACAAGAGCTCTCTCCCTTCCTGCCGTTTTCAGCAACTGGCGTTCAGAACCCTTGCTGCCTTCCACCATGGAGACAAGAGCTAGTAGCAGACTTGCACTTGTCTAATCCTCTTCTAAAGTCATTCAAGTCAGTGGCGATCGCTGTGCTGGTCCCAGGGGTAACCCATGCAACACGGTCCAGGACCAGTCCAGAATCCAAAGGTTTTGCTAGGAGTCAGTCCAACAGGGCCAAGGCAGGAAACCAGGCAAGGACAAGGACAGGTACAGGATCTCAGGCAGGTTCCAACATACAGCAATGTTGATCCCGCAACCTGGGGCAGGGCCTGACAGCCTTTTATCTTTGTCAGGGTAACAGCCGGTTCTGATCCCCCGGCGACTCACCTCCCTGTTTTGCCCGAAGGCGAGCACTCCTCCTGCGAGTACTCGGGTCTCTCCTTCTCTCATACCTTTGTCTCTGCAGCTCGGGAGACGTCAGTGGGTTACTAGACCTAGAGGCCGCCTCAGCCTCTCCTGACCAAACCTGTAGTGGAACAGCTGTAAGCGATGGCCCAGCTGAAGGCAACGAGGTAATCCTCGCATCTGGAGCCAGGGCAGGCTCAGGCCCCTGACTCGGCCCAGCTGGTGTTTGTTGCAGGGGAACCTGTGCAGACTGGGACTCTTCAGGATCAGGCCCCAGGCTTGGTTCAGGCGATGTCTGATGCAAAGGATCTGGTGCAGACTGAGTCTCCTACGGTTCCGAGTCTCAGGCCATCACAATCGCTGATTCCTGGGGCACCAAGTTCCATAGTTTCACTCTGTGCCGGCTATTCAGTGCTTAATTTATTTAAAACACTGCTTCTCTGCCTTTCCATGCGGTACAAGGGCAGCTTGTACCGAAATACAGAAAGCACAATAAAACAGCAGCTGGCTGGTCACTGGATGCACAATTTCATGTGCTCTACACTTTTCTGTCTCCTGTTGGAAGAAAGAGCTCATAGGGAGGCAGCTCCAGCACACACACACACACACACACACACACACACACCCTAACCGGTGAAGAACATGACCAGTCAAAAGCTGTTTGGAGAACCTAACACTTTCTAAGACTCTTTGCAACCCTGAGTAGAGGAGAATATCTTCCATTCACTGCATGGCCGGACAGTTGTATTGCATGGAAGGCCAAAACTAATATTTATATTTCACTGACCGTTTTCAGTGGAGAAATAAATGAAGGAAGTGAAAAAAGGGAGAGAACAAAAGAAAAAGGGGGAAAAAGTGCTCGAAGCTGTGATACAGTATATGAGCATATAAGTACAGTGGTACCTCGGTTTACATACGCTTCAGGTTACATACGCTTCAGGTTACAGACTCCGCTAACTGAGAAATAGTGCTTCAGGTTAAGAACTTTGCTTCAGGATGAGAACAGAAATTGTGCTCGAGCGGCGTGGCGGCAGCAGGAGGCCCCATTAGCTAAAGTGGTGCTTCAGGTTAAGAACAGTTTCAGGTTAAGAACGGACCTCTGGAACGAATTAAGTACTTAACCTGAGGTACCACTGTAGTATGATTATTCAACGGAGCATGAAATTATTAACTAGTCATTGTAATTTTTATAAATGCCTTCCTAATATCATTGTATTTATCCGTACACAATCTGCGCCTAAAAGCAATCTGGTCCGTATGTTGCAAGAGTGATCATATCTTCTACCCATCCGTCAAAGGGGCCATAGTATTGTCTTTCCAATGAATCAATATCCGTCTTTTTGCCGAAGTGAGGGCATGAAAGGTCCATCTACGTAGATCCATTGTCAAACGACATATAGTTGGTATGAGGGTTTAGGATAATATTATCACCTGACAATGTTAGTATTTTCCCCAAGTAGTATTTATACATCTAAATACCTTCCTCCAAAAATTGGCAAGCTTCGGACATTGCATAAACATACATTTCAAAGAAGCATTTTCTGGATTACATCTCCAGCAACACATTGATGTAGATAGTCCTTTTCTGTACAAGCGTACTGGAGTCTAATAAATTCTAAATATTCTTAGTTTTTAATCCGAGGACCCATTTGCCATGGAAGCTAAAACATTGTCCCGGTGAATAGGAAGGCTCAGTTCTTTCTTCCACTCATTTCTCATGTTCTCTAAGACAAATTGATTAACTGAAACCAGAAAACAGTTGGCTTTGTGGTTCAATCCACAGCATTGCCAGGTAAGGGCTGGGATATAGGAGGTTGCCTTATGTCAAGTCAGACTATCGGTTGACCTGACTCAGTATTGTCCACACTGACTGGGGACGCCAAGGTACACTGACATTCCCAGTGCTAGTTGGACATTCCCAGTGCTAGCTGGGGATGGACCACTGAATCTTCTGCATGTGTGCCAGGAGGCAGAGGGACATTGTTCACTAGTACAATGGAGACGTAAGCCTTGACTCGCTTGCTCCACGTGGGAGTGAAAAGGTCCATTCATATTGACCAAGCCCCTGTGTTGTAAATCCCTTATTGTGCCATGCTTGGCCGTGCAACCATTTCTGATCATTCCCCTCCTTGCTTGAACAGCCAATAATTCACTACTGGTTGTTACTGAGACTCATAGTTTTCCCATTGGCTCAAAGGAGCAACAGCCATCAAGGTTGTCTCATGCCTTCTTGTGGATAGCTCAGTCAGTTAGAGCTTGCTGCTGATAACGCCAAGGTTGCAGGTTCGATCCCTGTATGGGACAGCTGCATATTCCTGCATTGCAGGGGGTTGGACTAGATGATCCTTAAGATCCCTTCCGATTCTATGATTCTGTAGGAGAGAAAGGGAAGGGCAGGAAGTCTTTCACTTGTGAGGTTCACAGTGCGATCCTATGCATGTGTGCTCAGAAGTAAGCCTTATTGAGTTCAGTGGGATTTACTTCCAGGTTGCAACAGCATGCATGATGTTAGCTAGATTCACAGCATGTGGTAGGGCAAACCATGGTTTACTGGGACTGCATGAAGGCGTAGATCACCCCTCCCCAGAAAAAAAGCTACCGTATTTCTCGCTCTATAAGACGCACTTCCCCCTTCAAAAATTAAGGGGAAATGTGTGTGCGTCTTATGGAGCGAATGCAGGCTCCTGGGCTTCCGCGATAGCAACGCGAAGCCTCCGAAGCGCAGAGGGAGAGCTCCCCCCGTGCTCTGGAGGCTTCGCATTGCTTTCGCTGAAGCCGCCTGAAGCCCCCGGAGCACAGCGGGAACTCCCGCTGTGCTCCTGGGGCTTCAGGCAACTATCCGCAAGCCTTTGGAGTGCAGTAGGAGTTCCCACTGTGCTCCAAAGGCTTGTGGATAGCCGCCTGAAGCCTGGAGAGCGAGAGGGGTCGGTGCACACCGATCCCTCTTGCTCTCCAGGCTTCGCTTCGCTGGAGAGGCGCTGCACAGTTTTCCCTCTCTGTGCAGCGCCCCTTCAGTGAAGCGGGAGGAGAAATGGAAGGGGCTCCGTTTCTCCTGGCGCTTCGCTGAAGGGGTGCTGAGTAGAGAGGGGGAGAATTATAAATTTTTTTGCTGTTCTCGCACTCCTATGGTCCGGTGCGTCCTATGGTCTGATGTGTCCTATAGAGTGAAAAATACGGTATTTTACTCCTCCCCACCAGTCCCTTTTGTTGCCATGCAGTGCTGAGCCAAGGAATGGCTGAGCATGTTGTCCGAACCGGGACACCATGGTTAAACTCTCTTCACACTAACCACGACTGTAGCCAAGAACAAACCTTATGGGTTCGGTTGACATGCAAAGCCAAACCTTCTGGCTTATGAGGCCTTTTGAAAATAAAGAGAAATGATCTGCGATTAACACCAGCTCTCTCTGACGGGCAAGGAGTGATTGTAGCAAACAGTATTTTTATACATCTGGGACTCCGCACTGCAACACTTTGTTGCAGATCCCACTACTTCATAACGTGAATATGACCTTAAAGGAGAAAGAATGGAAGTAAGGGACTCTTGTTTTTTCCTGCCTGCCAAAAGCATGCTGGATGGATGATGATCACTCATAGTTGTGACTTTTAATGTAGAGGCTAAGGTCACAATGGCGGAGAGGGAATCCATGCCAGCACAAAGGGCCTTGTACTGTGCCTGCTGGAACTTGGCAGCCCCTAGCTGAGAGCGTCCTTTGTGAAAGAAAACTACTGTAGCCAAACTAATATTAACCAGTCTCCGCAGACGGCTTGAATGCCCCACTGTTTTCCCCTCTTAGGAGAGGGTGGGTGGCTGGGGAGAAAGCCGAATTGAAAGGTCCTTCAGTCTCCAAGTGGAATGCTCTTTATAAGCAAGCATATAATAATCATGGTGCAGGCGAGAGATCCTGCGAAATCTCTGGCATGGTTTTCTTTTTTAAAAAAGCAAAAGAATAAAAAGCACAACCAACAGTCCTAAAATGATCCGTTTGGAAACCTCCAGAACTCGATTCAGAATTGTGCGTTTTGCTCATCAGAGATTGGAGCGGAGACTGTCTCCACTGTTACAGCCCAGATTTGAGTACTGGGGTCACAAAGGGTTAGATCTTATCTCCCCATGTGCTGCACACACTGAGGCAGAATACTGGGTGCGGTGATTTCCAACCCCTTTGTTATTGTCGTTTAGTCGTGTCCAACTCTTCGTGACCCCATGGACCAGAGCACGCCAGGCACTCCTGTCTTCCACTGCCTCCCGCAGTTTGGTCAAACTCATGCTGGTAGCTTCAAGATCACTGTCCAACCATCTTGTCCTCTGTCATCCCCTTCTCCTTTCCCTTTCCCTTTCCCAACATCAGGGTCTTTTCCAGGGAGTCTTCTCTTCTCATGAGGTGGCCAAAGTATTGGAGCCTCAGCTTCAGGATCTGTCCTTCCAGTGAGCACTCAGGGCTGATTTCCTTCAGAATGGAGAGGTTTGATCTTCTTGCAGTCCATGGGACTCTCAAGAGTCTCCTCCAGCACCATAATTCAAACGCATCAATTCTTCGGCGATCAGCCTTCTTTATGGTCCAGCTCTCACTTCCATACATCACTACTGGGAAAACCATAGCTTGAACTATACGGACCTTTGTTGGCAAGGTGATGTCTCTGCTTTTTAACCCCTACCCATCAGCTAAAGCTCATGCCTCAGCTGCTTGATTCAAGCCATGGACCTCATGTCTAGTTTGGCTCTCACAGTAACTCTTTGGAGTGTTGATTGTTTTTAAGCCTGGAAAGAAAAGCTCTTACTTAGCTCTCTGGGATGCCCTGGGGCAGAGGGACAACGTTAAGGAAGATCCATTGGCAGATTCAGATATTTCATGTGTCATTTTACGTTTGTGGAAAGCTTCGTCCATTTAGTCTTCTTGAAATGCAAAATGTGTTGCCATTCTCATCAGAGAGGGTGGGGTGTGGGGATATTGTGTCTGAATTCTGCTCTGAGTTCATGCCAGGACCCAGCAATCCCATCTGCAGGACCACACAGGGACCCTGATGGAGACGGATAGCCCTGGCTAGGAATAATATAATAATAATACAGTGGTGCCTCGCAAGACGAAATTAATTCGTTCCGCGAGTTTTTTCGTCTAGCGAATTTTTCGTCTTGTGAAGCATGGTGTCGGAAAAGTTTTGGAAAAGCTTCAAAAATCGCCAAAAACCTCAAAAAAGGCTACCACACCGCATTCTATGAGTTGCTCCTCGAAGTCAAGTCGCAACTGTATTAAGGGTGTTAAGAAAAAGGAAACAAACTTGCAAAAAACGCAAGACGTTTTCGTCTTGTGAAGCAAGCCCATAGGGAAATTCGTCTTGCGAAGCAGCTCAAAAACCGCAAAACCCTTTCGTCTAGCGAGTTTTTCGTCTTGCGAGGCATTCGTCTTGCGGGGCACCACTGTAATTATTATTTATTATTTATACCCCGCCCATCTGGCTGGGCTTCCCCAGCCACTCTGGGCAGCTTTCAACAAAATATTAAAATACAGTAATGCATCAAACATTAAAAACTTCCCTAAACAGGGCTGCCTTCAGATGTCTTCTAAAAGTCTGGTAGTTGTTTTTCTCTTTGACATCTGGTGGGAGGGCGTTCCACAGGGTGGGTGCCACTACCGAGAAGGCCCTCTGCCTGCTTCCCTGTAACTTGGCTTCTCGCAGTTATTCTCAAATAAGTTCCACCTGTGAAATTGCACGAGGAGCAGTCAGAGGCCTTTCAGTTTCATCGAATGAGGAAGATCACGTGCTCCGAGAGCTGCCCTTTTGCCGAAATGAACCCGGCAGCGGGGAAGTGCAAAGTTTCCAATGACTGCAAAACTGCAGCGGAGTTGCTTTAAGAGTAGGACAGTCGAAATCAGCACTGCTGGGTTATGTAGGGTTTCCCTGCTGCTCATCTGCCAAACCAACGGAATTCTGTCTGTACATATCCGGCTGTTTGTTTGCTTTTGGGGATATGATGACAGGGTCGTGTTTTAGCCCAGCGAGTGCAACCGAGCAAAGTCTAAAGTGATTGTAATTGCAATGAGTGATTGTGATTGAGGCATACAACAATACATGGATGGAACCGGACGGCCACTCGGGGTTTTCTGGTCCAATGTTGCTGAATGGCAGCTGCTGGGAATCACAAACGAGAGAGGGCTGTTGTTCTCAGGTCCTGCTTATGGGCTTGCCCCAGGTATCTGGTTGGCCACTGTCAAAAGAGGGTTCAGGATTGGATGGGCCTTTTGGTCAGATCCAGCAGTGCTTTCCTTCTTTATATCTCTGCTCTGTACATCCGCACGTACAGTGGTACCTCGGGTTACAAATGCTTCAGGGTTACAGATGCTTCAGGTTACAGACTCCGCTAACCCAGAAATAGTACCTCGGGTTAAGAACTTTGCTTCAGGATGAGAACAGAAATTGTGCGGTGGCAGCGGGAGGCCCCATTAGCTAAAGTGGTACCTCAGGTTAAGGATAGTTTCAGGTTAAGAACGGATCTCCAAAACAAATTAAGTTCTTAACCCGAGTTACCACTGTACATGTTCCTAATACAGTGGTACCTCGGGTTACAGACGCTTCAGGTTACATACGCTTCAGGTTACAGACTCCACTAAGCCACAAATAGTACCTCGGGTGAAGAACTTTGCTTCAGGATGAGAACAGAAATCGCGCCACAGCAGTGGGAGGCCCCATTAGCTGAAGTGGTACCTCAGGTTCAGGTTAAGAACAGTCTTCCAGAACGAATTAAGTTCTTAGCCCGAGGTACCACTGTATGTAGATTTTCATAGAATCATAGAACTTTAAAGCTGGGATCCAGGGGTCATCTAGTCCAACCCCCTGCAATGCAGGAATCTCAATCCACGACGAATGGCCATCCAACCTCTGTTTATAAACTTCCAAGGAAGGAGAGTACGCCACTTCCTATGGGAGTCCATTTCTCGGTCAAACAGCTCTTACCATGTGTATGCATGCATGTGTACAAAATATAAGAGCAACCTCAAATGTGAGGTTTGGGGGTATTCACAGCTCCTACCCTGTCCTTTCTTGCTGATAGTGGTGTGGGTTTTCCAGAAATTTTTGAATTGGAAAAATCTCCGCTATGCATGTTAGACTGGTGTACGTCGGGGGGGGGGGGGCGGGGAATCAGTGTTCTAATTTAGCATGCATAGTTTAATCGTATTGGGTAAATAAAGGTAATAACTTTGAAATGGACATAAACTTGCTTACAGTTTAGTTGGAATTGGCATGCATTCATGGTTCCTAATGAACTAAGACACACAGAGAAAAAAATCCACAGAAAAATAAAACGCTGGAAATTTTTCATACTGGGTTTATTTTTTTGGTCATGCATCGCAACACCCTGATGTGTTAGCTTTCCAGATGCAGGGAACTTTTGATGTGGAGGCACGCTATCAGCAAAGCAACCTGTTCTCTGTGCATTTGCCTAATCCTTCCAAGGCCGTCTAAGCCTGCAGCCATATCTTGTGGTCATGAATTCCAGAAACTGGTTGTGCATTGTGTAACATGCTTTCTTAGATCTGATGCCAAGCAGTTTCACTGAGTAACCTGAAATTACATAATGTAAGAAGAGCACCACTGGATCAGGCTTAAGGAAATTAAGGAAAAAACTTGATGTGCAATACCTCCAGTGTTAAAGCATTAGCAGTGTCTGGTTATTCTGGGACACTCCTAACAATGCTGGGTTTTTTAAGGGACACAGGCTTTTGAGATACACATCACCAGATGATGGCTAGGGGTATGCTTATTTTCAGAGATCTTCTGCAAGAAACCTGCGCCATAGTGTTCTGAAATTCCACCGATGCATAGCCACTGACCTGGTCCCGAGAGATGGAATCTGGAATTGCACGATGCGCTTTTCAAATATTTTCTTTGCATATAACACTCTGCGGTA